CCCCCGAGCCGCGCGCCCGCTCGCCGCCGGCCGGCGCCGGCGGCGCCGACGAGGTGGGGCGGCAGCTGCACCACCAGAAGCTGCTGCTCGACGGCCTCGTGGAGAAGGCGGCCCGCTGCGCCCGCCTGGTCGAGGCCGGCGCCGCGCGGCTGCAGGAGGTGAGGGCCCGGCTGGCCAGCGATTTGAAGGGCAAGGCCGAGGCCCTGACAATAGACGAGGCTGTTCTTGGGGTGCACGGCGGGTCTGCAGGAAGCGGCCCCCGCGCCGCCGCCCCGCCGCCCGCGGAGCCGACGGCGGCGGCGGCCGCGGCGGCCAAGGGCGCGGGCATGCTGGCCGGCACGCTCACGGCGGCGCCCCCGGCCCTGGTGGGGACGAGCCCGGGCGGGCGGCGGCGGTGGGAGGGCGACACGGCGGCGCTGGTGGCGGCGGCACACCAGCTGGTCGGGGAGTCTGCCAGGTGGGCGCTGATCTGTGTTTGCGGCTCGTGCGCTGCCAGGTCTTGGTGGATCCCAAGCCCTGTATCGGAGTATGATCAGGCTGAGGGCCCAAGCATGCATGGGCTCACCATATGGGTGTGTTTTGGCATTCTGTGGCAAGCGACGGACCATGCTCGCTCCCTTGTGCCACCTATGTAAGGAGGGGGGTCACAGGTCGAAAATTGCAAGCGCTTCCGCCTGCACCGGTGCCAGCAGCCGCTCACGCGTCAGATGTGCGTCATGGCCGCCCGCTCTCAACATGTCGCCACCTCGCTGCAGGCTGCGCCAGCGGGTGAAGGAGGTGCTGCTGGAGACGGCGTCCGCGGCGGTGGGCAGCGCCGACGCCGTCAACACCAGCCTGGCGCGGCGCATCCAGGACACGCGCCGCGTCAAGGCACAGCTGCAGGAGCGGCTGAAGCAGGTGCGCGAGAGGACGTGCGTGCGAGCGTGCGTGCACGCGCGTGTGTGTGCGTGCGTGTGTGTGCGCGCGTGTGTGTGTGTGTGCGCGCGCGCGTGTGTGCATGCGTGCATGCACGGCGCACGTTGTTCAGCAAGCAACTGGCAGGTGCTCGAATCGCAATGCCGCGCCGACCCACACCCTGCTGCCTCAGGTGGAGCAGGAGGCTGTGAGGGCGGCGAAGGAGCAGGAGAGCCTGCGGCGCAGCCTCGAGGAGAAGAGGTGGGTACCCTCGCGCGCGTGGCGCCAAGGAGTGCCATGGAGTGCATGGGCGCACCCACGCGTGCACAGGGGCTCAGGCGCCTAGCTGCGGCCGGCAGCTGAATGGCTGGCTGCGCATAGACGAGTACGCCCTGCAGGCACTCCAAGCGCGAGAGAGCAAGAAAGCATCTTCAGTCCCGATCCACAAGCCCTAGCCCCTGTGATACCACACCCACCCCTTGGTGTGCGTGAGCCAATCACGGTGTGCCCGCAACCCTCCGCCAGGGCGCCACTGGAGCAGCTCAAGGCGCGCTTCGACATGCGGCGCCGCCGCCCCGGCCCCGAGGCCGTGGCCGACGAGGTGGAGAGCGCGCTGGCGGCCGAGGCCGCCGGGCTGGCGGCGGTGGCGCGGCAGCTGGAGAGGCACGAGGCCGCGGTGGGGGAGCAGGTGCGTCGATGCACTACCGTTTCCTCCGCTTTACCGGGGGGTGGGGGCGGG